ACATGAAAAAAAATCATATAAAATAATCTAACATTCAAAAACACAAACTCAATTATTGTGAATGACTGAGGCATATCAAAGAGGATTGTAATATTTGCAGACATGGATAGATGGCAGAATAATAGATGAGGATTTTTAAATAATTTTTATTGAGAGACAAAGATGTAGTGACAAAAGTTAGCATTCATAACTGAGATATTTTCTGCAAGCAAGTTTCTGCATAGCAGAAAGCTCCGTAGCAAATTGAAGAACATACAAAAGTTTGGAAAAATGTTCTTAATTAATATTTTATTAAAAGTAAAACTATATTCTTTTCCTTCTGACTGAACTACAAGTATACCTGGGTCACATTTGAACCAAATGTACCATCTTCAAGAAGAGAGATGATTACAAATATGCTAGGATGTTTTTAACTAATTATAATGGTGCCATCTTCTTCTTGGTTTTCCCTTAAACATTCAAACTGCTATAATCAAAAAGTATGACATAACCTCTTCCTAGAATAGGAAAATACTCAAAAATGTCCAGATATTTTCTTCTCATAAAATTTCAATGACTAATGTAGGGTACTTTGTGTCCGCATAGTTGTCAGCTTACACTGTTCATGGGAGACTGTGCCTCCTATGAAAAAATGGCACAAAAAGAACATATAATGTGTTGAGTACATTGTGTCCCTTCAGAACGTACATGTGGAGAGAATTTCGGAATGTGTAAAAAAATGTAGGTCAAACACCTGAGAAGAGTGCTTAATCTAATTATATCTTTATAAATTCCTGGGAGGAACCTGTATTCTGTGACTTTTACACCCCCTGGTGGCCCTGAGTGGCCTAACAGTGAGGTTTATGCCTGAGTTAACACTGAAGTCCCATCACTGTGTCTCTAGCACAGTAATAAGTGGCTGTGTCCTCAGATCTCACACTGCTCATTTGCAGGTACAGAGTGTTCTTGGCATTGTCTCTGGAGATGGTGAATCGATCCTTCACAGATGGTGCATATCTTATAGTACTGCTGTCTTTATTAATATCTCCAACCCACTCCAGCCCCTTCCCTGGAGCTTGGCGAACCCAGTTCATCCAGTAATCACTGAAAGTGAATCCAGAGGCTAAACAGGAGAGTCTCAGGGATCCTCCAGGCTTGACCAGGCCTCCTCCAGACTCCACAAGCTGCACCTCAGACTGGACACCTGCGAACACAGAGAATGTTGTTAGTAAATTCCCACAGAAACTCTATCTTTTGTATATCTTGTTCATGTTCACTAACACTCAGTACCCTTTCTTCATAAATTACCTTTTAAAAAGGCAACAAGGAAAAGGCAAATCATCACCAAATCCATTCTGTGGTTTTTTTTTTTTTTTTTTGTTTTCTGTGCTGATCACTGAATGGGAAGACCTGGGCATCCAGGACTGATTACTTTGTCTGAGCTCCAAGGCCAGTGCTTATTAGGTTTTCATGAGCAGAGTTAGGTCTTATTTGCATGCCATCCTGTTATATAAGCTCTGCTGTTGGAGCTAAGAGATAG